ACCCCATTCCGATCCCAGTTTGTACGTGCCCAACTAACTCCATCTCCAGCACTACGCCCTCATCCGCACAGCTGATTCCCCGATAAGAACTCTACGACCGTACAAGTGACGATTTTCATTTTTTTTTCGTCCTACAGCTTCGTTATTCACTGGAAGGCAGGCCTTGAGGGCGGAGTCTGGAGGCGTAGTCACAGGAATTAAGGAGGCGTCACTGAACCTATATTGCACTATAGCACCCCTCCCTTATAATGTTTTGCCGCAAAACCGGAGCAAGGTTGTTCATCGCGGACCACACTATCCTCTCAGCGCCATATTTCCAACTTATACCTGATCGCCGACCGTAACTTTAAATATAACTACCCCAAAATCTCGAAAAGATGCCTGTGCCTGTTATTCGATGCTCTGATCAAGAGTGTGACACTCATTTCACCCTGGCGCTATTTGGAGCCATTTTTCACGAAAATCGATGAAAATTTGCAAAATGTGGTTGATGATGCCCTGATCACGAATACGGCATTCATTTTTCTCTTAAAGACACATGGTACGCTCAAACACATTGAGGGTGTATGAGACTATCAGCCCCCAGCTGTCGATGTGTCGTGGTCCCCCCGCCCAAAACTGCACGGGGTCGGAGTACGGGGCCGTGGGAAAGTCTGGTTCCTTGCTACGCCGCCCAAATCGCAATACACGCCGCAGGGCGCGCCGCACGTGCAAAGACGCCACTACCATATCCCTGCTTGTCCACACTAGGCGCTCAATCCTAAATTTTTTTGTTTTCTTCGCCTTTTACGCTCGGTGTTTCGCGTTTTTTTTCTCTTTTTCGTTTTTTTCATGTTTAGATGTTTAGGTCATGCCGACACCAGGACCCCCACCCGTTCCCTATGGCTCTGAACACTGACAAGTTTGATTCCTTTTTTCTTTTTCGCTGTTGGCCTCTTTTTTTGTTTCGATGTTCTTTTTTGTTTTTAGTTTACGTGATGGGTGCGAAGGCCTGATATATGAGTTTTTATTGTTTAATTTACTCCTACAATTTTTTTTCAGATTACGCGCTCGTTGGACCAATTTTTTTCCCCGCGCCACTTCAACATGGTAAGTTGTTCATTTGTTAAATGATGTTTTTGTATTGTTCGAGTTTTTTTTTACTTTTTTGTCCGTACTAGATTTCGTATTTGTGATTCCGAGTTTTTACTGTGTGTTTATCTTGCAATTTTCTTTCAGGTCGTGCCAGCGTCCACTTCTCCGTTCCTGCTTTCCAGGTGAGTTGTTTAATTCTACTTTGATGTTGTTTTTATCATCTTGTGTTCATAGTAGATTGCGTAACTCGTCATTTCTTGTGTTCTTTGTGTGTTTACCTTGCAAACTTTTTTTAGATCGCGTTTGCAAGGTAAACACACAAAGAACACATGAAATAATGAGTTACGCAATCTACTATGAACACAAGATGAGAAAAACAACATCAGACTAGAAGTAAACAACTCACCTGGAACAGCAGGACGGAGGAAGTGGACGAGGGCACGACCTGAAAGAAAATTCGCAAGATAAAAAACACAGTAAAAACTCGGAATCACAAATACGAAATCTAGTACGGACAAAAAAGTAAAAAAAAAAACTCGAACAATACAAAACATCATTTAACAAATGAACAACTTACCATGTTGAAGTGGCGCGGGGAAAAAAATTCGGTCCAACGAGCGCGTAATCTGAAAAAAAATTGTAGGAGTAAATTAAACAATAAAAACTCATATATCAGGCCTTCGCACCCATCACGTAAACTAAAAACAAAAAAGAACATCGAAACAAAAAAAGAGGCCAACAGCGAAAAAGAAAAAAGGAATCAAAAACTTATCAGTGTTCAGAGCCATAGGGAACGGGTGGGGGTCCTGGTGTCGGCATGACCTAAACATCTAAACATGAAAAAAAACGAAAAAGAGAAAAAAACGCGAAACACCGAGCGTAAAAGGCGAAGAAAACAAAAAAATTTAGGATTGAGCGCCTAGTGTGGACAAGCAGGGATATGGTAGTGGCGTCTTTGCACGTGCGGCGCGCCCTGCGGCGTGTATTGCGATTTGGGCGGCGTAGCAAGGAACCAGACTTTCCCACGGCCCCGTACTCCGACCCCGTGCAGTTTTGGGCGGGGGGACCACGACACATCGACAGCTGGGGGGCTGATAGTCTCATACACCCTCAATGTGTTTGAGCGTACCATGTGTCTTTAAATGCTCTGCTAGCTGACCTTGGGAGAAGGAGTGATTCCCTCCAAGTTAGGCTCCGCCTCAATAAAGCGCAGACAGTTGGTGTCCTACCAACTGTAATGTCGTGTTCGTAATAAGAACATCAAATAACCAGCTTATTCAAGCTCTCATCGATTTTGGTGAACAAGGATAATTTGGCACGGGCGCCAGGCAGTTTTAGTAACTTCCCCTGGAATACAAATTTTCACCCAAATCTGCTCGCGTGGAAAAAAAGTTGGTAAAAAACTGGCCTGATTTCCGAAAATTGGGATAGTAATAGTTGAATAGTGCCAATTCATTCTAATCATCACAGTTCTAATGAGGCAAAGATGGTGTAGCAGCCTGTGCACGCTCACCAAGCGCGTGGTCCGGGAGCCAAATCACGGATCGGGTGCCGCCCACGTTAATCAAGCTTGGTAGCAGCTCTGTGAGAGGATAAACCAAGTAGGTACTTTAGTTTCTACTTCCCATGCCCCCTAAACGAAAACTAAACTCCATTAACTAGGTTCACTGTTTCCAAAGGAGCCGCTCGACGCTCTTCATTCTCATCTGAGAGGCGCGCCACGCACAGTGCTTTCATCTAGATCCGTAGTGGAAGGGTTTGAATGCGACCTGGCCTGTAAAGAAATTCGGGATCTAAGCAACATATAGGGGGACCAAAAAAAGTCACTTTCCTTCATTGACTTTCGAGGCGCTATAAGTTACACTTTATTAAATTCTGATACTTAACCTAGCATCCTACTATATATAAACGGCGACGTCTGTCTGTCTGTCTGTCTGTCTGTCTGTCTGTCTGTCTGTTTGTCTGTCTGTCCGGAAATTCGGAACTACCTGAAGAGCCAGTCTCAGGGGGCGGGTCAAGGTTGGGATGGGTAGGGCATGGGCCAAGATGTACGAACACACGTGAACTAGGCTAAGCCCCGCCCACTGTGGGCGGCGCGTGCGCATAGTTGTGAGCTTCATATTTCAAAAATTCGTAGTTCGGTTCCAAAAAAGCCCCGAGAGCGGAGAAAAGTGGCAAACGATAGGCAATTAGTTCGTGGACGAAATGACTGAAACAAACCCATTTTGGGCGGGGCGTTCTACAGATGGGCGGTGCTTGCTTCGAGATTTTCAAAAATTCCCAGTTCGGTTCCAAAAAGAGCCGAGAGCGGGTAAGTTGCGGTAATTCTCAAAATAATATTTCTTTGACCATTCGTCGCGACTGGCCTGCCTCTATTGGATGACAACTGCTGCACAGGGACGCACACTTCACAACGCGAAGGAGGATCGGCTCGGCGAAGCCGCGATCCGACTGTCCTCCCCTCACCATGGAAAACTGCTCAGCCAGGAACGGCCACTTCACACAGCGGAGATCCGACTGGCATCACCTATGTACTATCAACATCTCCGCCATAGCCTTCTCGGTACGAGCGCCAATCCGAGAGGAATAATATGGCATGCAACCGCGATGTGGTGCCTGAGATCAGCGAGATAGTCGATTTCTCCGCCACCGTAGACCACCCTATTGAACTCCTGCTCGAACCGGGTAATTGAGGGGATATTCAGGTAAGTGACCTACTTGGAGGTCCATCTTCTCTCTCTAAGGTATTCAGCCCCCTTCCATTCCAAGTTAGCGCGGCGACGAGTTTCTTCCATATGAATTACGCTTCCGATTCCATGTGGGGCAACCCAATGTGTAGGCATGTATGTAAAAGTTTTCTAAGGAAGGTGCGGGCGACGACCAATAGAAGATATTCTTCACGAGTTGCTCGATGTAACCGCCAGCGCTCACCTTCAGTCCGGGTCCACGAAAAAAATATTGGTCTTTCCATTCCAGGTACGTCCGGTCCATACCATCAACGGTAGACCGCGGCCGTGTGGCGGACGATGGATCTTAGCCGTAGCACACAATTGTCGGAGCTGCTCGATGATTGGAGGTCTTCCAGATCGAGAGTACTGGTCTCCAGGTAGCTATCCATGGGTGACTCCATACTAGAAGTTTCGCAGCTGTTTGGAGGTGACATGAATTGGAGGTGACATGAATTCCAAAGGTCTTCTCCAGTCAGGCTGCGACTGGAGATGACTTCATATTTTGGTGTACATGAAGGTGATGGGCGAGAGCCAGCTCCTGCTTATAGAGGAACATCTTGGGTATCTTCCGCCCTGGTACTCGTATCCACGTCCTCTGTCTGGGCAGCGAAAACTTTGCTGATATGTGACTCGGTCGAAGTGACTTTTTTTGCCCCCCCCCCCTGTATATGCAAGTGTTTTCGTCCTCCATGACAAGCCTCTTACCAAATTTTCAGCTCCGAAAGAATGAAAGACCGGGATGGCTTGTACCAGTCCGTGGCTTGTCCCTTGACCCAGCATAAGTGACCATCGGACCATGTCCGGGTCACTACACCACCGCCACCCACAAGAAGCAAAACTGACAAGAAAAATAGATGACTTTACAACTCTATGTCTTGAGGAATGTACTATGCACTTAAGTGCACTAGGAGAGCAGAAGTGCTGGGTTATGTGGACCTAGCTGGCCGTTCGCAGACCGCAGAGCCTGTGACTCTAGCTCATTGATCAACGTGAAGTTACCCTCCCAGGGGCATTCAATGGATGTTTTTCAGAACAAATTTGTTTTCCTGAATTTATTACGGAAGCCGTTTATTTCGTCCCTCAATTCACAATCTCCTATCGACAAATATTTTTATTTGTTTGTGGGATGTTATTGACAGCGGCGAGAAATGCCAATCACCCAGCACAATGGCCTGATATAAACTTGGCAATAACACTTTAGAGCGCCCAGAAAAAACACATGAAGAGCGGTTGGACCGTTATCGCTGTACTTACCAGGACGACAGTGGAGCCCAGGCGAAATTCGCCGACTCGATCGCCAGGAAGGTACGCGCTGTGCATATCCACCTCCGTGTGCAGCATCTTGTCCTTCTTTCGCCGCACCAAATTTGTTCGTAACGACGGCTCCTAAAATACTGCAGTTATTTATCTTTTAGAGTAAAGGAGTGTTTATTACCGTAATTCGTGACATGGAACGTCACGTCAAATCGGTAAAAATCGGTCTGACGACACCGTTCAGACTTCGCGATGAATAGCGTCTATAGATTCGGGTCGCCTTCGCAGTGATAGGCAGGGCACGCCATCGCGTTGTGATCATTTTCTGAAAATTACGACCCCCCTAATTCCATACTAAAATACGACCCCCCTTTTTGGGAGTTGGTACGACCCCCCTCCCAGCCCTCTGTCCTTCCTCATCGAACCGTCGAGCGGGGCGGGGGAG